GCACTAGCTGTACATAGTGATATTCAATGCTGCACATTGTGTGGACTGCCTTGAACAATCAATGATAGATAATTAGATAATACTATAACCATACCAGCCAATAGACCCCTTTCATGGGCACAAGAAACAGCAAGGTCTTATAGACTTCATCGTAACTGCTGAATTCACTGCCATTTCTGAGCACTGCATAAAAATTCAGGCCCCTAGGCCACAACACAACACTTTTGGAAAAGCTTCTCCAAAGAATGAATGTGAGAAAACTATCCTCTAATAGCCATTCTGCAGGTGACAAACTGCAGCACTGACAACTGAGATCAAGTTATCTTTTATTTTCATTAAGCGTCAGCTTTGTCACAAGCTGGTTCACCACACAGACACAAAAGCAGTTATATCACAATGTCAAAGTACAGAAAGTATCTAGAAAGCATTTTAGGACCCCTCTCATAACCATACAAAACTGAAATGAAGACACCTATGATTCCATCAGCAGTAGGTTTGTCATACCAACATGGTCCACACACAACGTGTACTTAATTACTAAATTACACACTCCTTTTACTCTGTCGATGAATTTCTAATGTTTACAAGTCGTAATTTATCTATTGTATATAATGGGTGGATTTATTTGTAACTTATCTCTATTTCATGTGAACCCTTTGTTTGTTTGTATTTTTGTGACATTTATATGACTTGTATTTGTATAACATGTATTGTATTATTATGACTTATTCTACATCCTATTGTCATCTGACTAACTTATGGATCCATGGAATGTAATAAAGATGTATGTATGTATTGGGCATGACATGCCTGCAGAATTCTCATTAACTAAAACAGCACTTCTGTATGTATACCACATATGGGTTTACACCGAGTACATCTGAGACTTTCCATGTTTCATGATCATGCAACTCATTTCCAGACCTTCCACTCTGAACTTTAAAGCAGTAGCATAATCATGGAAGACAATTGTCATCAACTATCTCTGTTCTAAATGTGTAATGACTGCACTGTATCCACACTTACAGCGTGTACATAAGAGCCCTTCAGCCAGTCACACTGTGATTTACTCTGTCACACAATATTCTTAGTTTATACGCGACTGTTTTGAAGATAAGAAGTCTGTAAGTTTCTAAAGTAACACAGTCAACAATAACAACCAACTACACATATTCACATGCTGATATTATCACCGTTTAGAAAATGGACAATTCATTCTATGTTAACATTAACAAATGGTAATCCAAAACAGCATAGTGACACAACATTCCAAAGTCTGACTACACTAGACAACAAATTTTAATGAGTTGTATATATCGGAAATGAAACTAATCAATTCTTATGTATTTTCGTCTGCTAAATTCGAAAATGACAATAAAAAAGCTCACTTAGTTTGCATTTTGCAGATATTTTGTACTTTGTGAAATATCACGAATAAATTCATCCATATGATGGGCAAATGTTTAAAATTTTTCACCTACCTTATAGACGTTGTCTTTTGGCCTTTCTTCTGTATTTTACCTCAGGGGCATCTCTTACCACCGACCAGCAGTAATCAGCTATCATTGATGCGCTCCATTTCCCCTGATAACGCCTTTCAAGAGTAAAAATATCTTGGTGAAATCGTTCGCCATGTTCATCACTAACTGACCCAAGATTATCAGGAAAAAAGTCCAAGTGAGAGTGGAGGAAATGCATTATAAGAGACATATTGCACCCAATTTTACTGTAAATTTCAACAATTTGTCTAACAACTAATTTGAAGGATTCCCATGCAATTTTCTCCCCTCCCATCAAAATGTCAACAAAATGTTCATCAACAATCAGGTTTCTTATTTGGGGACCTACAAAAACTCCTTCTTTGATTTTAGCTTCACTTAGTCGTGGAAATTTGTGAAAAGGTACCTAAAGGCTTCTCCATTTCGGTCTATTCCTTTTGCAAAATTTTTCATCAGACCCAATTTAATGTGCAATGCTGGCAGTATTATTTTGCTTTATTTACCAGTGGTTCACGGACAATATTATTAGTACCTGGTTCCAAGTTCTGTTGAAGGGGCCACTGTTTAGTTTCATAATGTATATTCCTTGCACGACTGTCCCACTCACACAGTAAGCAGCAATATTTTGTGTAACCCTGCTGAAGGCCTAGTATGATAGCCATCACTTTTAAATCTGCACATATACACCACTTATATTTGTCATAATTCACCATTAATTAATTGTTTAATGTTATCGTATGTCTCTTTCATATGAACCGCATGAGCTATAGGAATACAGACAGAAGTAGCAGTCGTTTACATGGTTATGCAGTTCCTGCCACACCACGGTCACAGATTGCATTTTTCCTCTTAGCCACTCACGTAGATTTGTAGATCATGCAAAATGAATGTCATTTTCGTGTTTAGCAGCTCAAAATTAGTAAAAATTGGTTAGTTTCATCTCCGATATATTTTGGCTGTTGAACAGTGTTACATAAACGTTTTATTTCGCCGGACATCATGGAGGTGTTAGCTTTTGAATGAAAGGTTGTGCACGTCCATAGCTGCTTCCATTCACTCAGAATTTCAATTATATTACAGAGTTCTATATACAGACATCAGGGAATGCACCAAAAACAATCTATAAAGGGGTAACTCCTACAGAACTCGGGTGAATTCAATACAATAGCAACTTCGTTATGATACTTCAGATTCTCATGATGGAAAGTATAAAGAACACTGTCTTCTACGATGTCACACCCTGACCAGTTCATCACTCTGATAATAGACATGGTTAACAAACTCTTAAAAGTCAGTAAATTTCTACCAGAGTACATGGTGCAACATCCCACAACACAGTCATCTTCAATAGCAACTTTATTTTAATATCCCATGTAAAACAGTCCAGCATTTGGTGTAGAAACAACAAAATTCAAGATAATATGAAATCACATTAACAAAAGACAGATATAACAGTGTAAATATGTATTCCAACCATCACAACCAAGTGGTTAGAACTCATAGTACATATTCACTTAGTCCAGGGTTCAAATTTTGGCCTGGAGACCAGGAAAATGCTACAATACACCTTAAGTTAACCATGATTGCTTCCTTCCACATCCCTTCCAATTCAGCACTCATTAGTCAACCTATCATTTGACACTACACAGTCTAAGCTACTGGCAGCATTTTTAAATAAACTGCAAATAAATAAAAAAATAAATCCAATTAAATTACACGTTGCCTTATTTGTGATATAAATTACACAATCCATTTTTCACAAAGCTATAAAAACAGGTACTTCGCTATGCAGAGACTTTCTCATAATTAATTAAATATGTACACCATAATGAAAAATATTTCTATGTAATATTAAAAGCATGTTAAGGGTAAGGAAAGGTGCGGGGAGTGGTAAGGCAAAGAAGTAAACAAAGACAACCTGTTCTGATTAGGCATAGGAGGGGCCCATTGGTGCCAGGCAAATCTAGAATGGTGAGATACACGTGTGGTTCTAAGGCCAATGTAGTACAGGGCTGCTGCGTAAAAAATCTGGTCCTTTGTAGCGTGCTCACCAATGAAGCAACAGCCCTGAGGATGAGAGCAGAGATTGTTCTCGAAACGTTGGCAGAAGATATGGTTTATTCACTGTTCAGCCACCTGACGTGGCTTGTAACCCGAGAGTTCTTCAACATCAAGTGGATATATCTGGCCCAGTATAAGCTCTTGTAATGAACCTTTGGACCCCATAAATTATGAGAAATTTGACTGACTTGACTAACTTCTTAAGAAGGACTCTGCTCCGTGGAGTTAGTTACAGATCATCAGATTCATACCTTAAGATTTGTATGTATTTCCTCCAAGATAATCAGTTTTTAAAAATATTTACCTTACCTATTTGAGTTTCATGAAAAGTAGATGACATTGTAGACCAATCCAAACCATAATAAAATTACTGTTACAAGCTGAAGTGTAGACCCTCAACACAAACAAAATTCTCTGAATAGCTTTGAAAATAAAATGTGGAAGACAGGAAATTATTTCCAGACAAGGCATTAGCTTTAGCCTCTCTACTCAAAAGATGTACAAAACTCTAATCTAAAAGCCGTACTTTACAAATAATAAGTCAATTGTGAGAATTATGAGGCATTTACCTACAGCAAAGTGTGTGTGCATGACAATTGTCACACACCTAATAAGGCTATTCTGTGATTAAGAAATCCACATGGACTCCCTCTTTTAGCAAAACACAGAAATAACTGTAATATTCCAGCAAAACAACCAACAATGTATTTGGTGCATCCCCAGCAACATCTAGATACCTCTTAAAGTGTGTGTGGGTTCTTACAGGGCGAAGTCTCAGATAGACATGTGCAGAAGACACTTTATCAACATGGAACCAAACATCTTCCGGCCAACCCCACTTGATGAGCTCTTCATCTGAAATGCATGAACATCATCTATCAAAAACCAAACAAGAGCTGAATATAAATTATAGCAATGACTTTACTGTACACCAATAACATACTACAAAGGACAACAAAAAAGATGGTGCTGACTTTGTTATGTGAACTGCAACTTTGTGAAAATGACCAGCTTAGGAACCATCGTTATAGTAAATGAAAAAGAAAAAAACCCACTCACAATTTTTATTTTGTCAAATGCAAAATATCTGATCAATAGTTGACCTATTACAGCAGAATCCTCACTGATCATCACTGATAGTTTCAATTATGAATGGCATTAACTGTACCAGAAGAATACTGAACAAAATTATGTATGTCGCTGACAAAAGAGAGATACCTCAGAAGTCACTGCGCCCACCTGTTTTGTGAATAGGGACAACAACTGATTCTTTCCACTGTTGTGGTATTACTTCCTGGTTCCAAATTGAGACTATAAGCTTATCTATCTCTGAGTGCAATGTGCTATCACCTGTAAGGACTATTTCCTCTGGAGATTTATAACATTTTAATTTTCCAATGGCAATTTCAACTTCAGTAAGGCTCAGTTCTGGGATAAAGGGCTCTGCTGTATGTACTTCAGGCTCATTAAATTGATTATCCATGTGAACATTTTTGCAACTTACTATAGTAATCTTTCCATATGTCCTTGATGCCATGTGAGTCCACAAACAGATCCCCATTCTCATCCTTGATCAAGCTTGTCCTAGTTCTGTACCCCTTCTTAAATTTACTTGTGCCTCTATAAAAAACTGTAATGCTTTTAATTTTGGTGTTACATTTCCAGCTCCCCTATCTGATCTTTCAGATACTCCCTCTTGTTATTCCTGAATGTTCTGCTGGTTTTGCGCCTTACACTGGCATACCTATTCCTATTTATTCACATACAGGCCTGGAGCCACTGCAATCTAACCTGCTTCCTCCATCTTACCAAGACAGAACATTCTTAATCAAACCATGTCTTAATTTGCGAAATTTTATGATAACCTACACTCTCCTCAGCTAAAATGTTCATGTTAACCTGTATATTTTCCCAGGCTTTATTGACATCTACTTCCCTATTCTTCATATTCTATTTAACATTTTCTAGAATTGCAAACCTATTCAAAATTTTTACCTGATACTCTTGCTTAGATTCTATATCACTTATTCTTTTGACGTTGAATTTATCAATATTGTATATCTGCTCTGCCTGTTTTCTGACCAAAAGCCTTTCTCTACATTTTGAAATAATGGTCAGTATCACAGTCCACTACCCTACAAGATCACATGCCTACGACGTTTGATTGTCTCTTCCAATCGATGAGAACGTAATCAATCTAAAAATCGCTCATCACATTAGGGGAAGACCAAGTGTGCTTATGGACATCAAAATGTGGGAATGTTGTGCTTCTGATGATCAGATTTTTGAAGGTTGCAAAGTTCACTCATCTCATCCTACTGTCATTACTAAATTCATGCAACTCTCAGTCCCTATAGTTGGTTTAAAAATATCCTCCTGACCAATTTTGCCATTGATAGCTAAGAGCAGAATTTTCATGTGGTATCTACTAAACTGATGAAATAAAAAAAAACTATCCTTATGAGGCCATATTTATTGTATTACTACGTCAATCGGTCTGCTTTTAACCTAAAGCCCTTTCCAGTGTATAACATACGCACAACCAACAACATATAGAGAAAGCACTTACTTTCAAATTTGTCCACTCCCATAAACAGTGGCACTCCCGGCGATACAACTGCAAATAAACATGTTCATTACTTTATTACACTGATATCCAATTTAACACAGTCTTAGCACAACATTTCACAACTACTCACAAGCTCTGTGTCATAATTACCTTGACTTGTAAAAGAGAAAACCATTTTTACATTAACGTGGCTAATAACCTGAACCACATCGAACTCCCATTGAAAACACACAAGGCTGTTCACCTGGTTGGTCGTAGTACACACAAATAATTTCAATGTAGTACAGGAGTACCAACGGCAGGTGACCAACCACCGTGATGAAAATGACTACAGACTTTGCTTTTTCTAGTTCAAAATGTCGACAATGGCTCGCTACACACATAATGCAATTCCCGACGGCCTTCACATAGTGTTTGTTAAGTACTTTGTGAAACCGTTGTATCTGGAAATAGGCCGCTGTACACGTTTTATTATTGATACATAATAGAAAAGTAAGACAACGCATAAAACCGCCTCACGCTATTTGCGGAGAGAATCTCTTCTCATTTACAACAAATCTAAGTAACATTCATTTATCACTGTTAAACAGTTTCGCCTCCTTAGATGTTGCAATGGAAGACGGTCATTGATATGTTTTGTTGAAAACTGAGAAAACAACTTTTAGAATATTGTGATCACTAATTATTGTTTATGATTGAGGTTTCTGTATTATTACAGTAAGTTCTGGACTGATACATCAATATGCTTTGTGAGGGGCTTCTGGAAGAAACGACATATGTCAAAATAGAACTTTTGAGAAATAAAACAAAGGCATATATGCCCTCTGAACCTGCCAAAAAAAAATTATTTTGAATTAATTCATTTACATATGTTGCAAATTAGGAATATAGTTACAGTTATGCAGACAAAAATAAATGGACTTTAAAATTGTTTTATTAGTCATATGTGATGCGAAAGTAGATAAATTCATAGCACTGTTGAGCAGAATTTACCTCCACTGTACTCATCTTTACTGGTAGGAGCATAACAGTCTTGCTTAACATATCAGAATGTTGGCACAAAAATTTTTAAGATGTTATGTAAAGTCAAGGATGGCAAATGGATCTCACAACAAATTCTTTTATTTATTAGCAAATTCTGGTGCAATATGTTTCAGAAATACAAAGTCATCATTAGGGTCTGTAGATATTATACTACAATGAAAATATTCACCTTCTAAACCCATTTAGTGCCAGAAATACAAACACACTAATGAATGACCTTAAGCAAATACATGCTGATAAAAACCTCTACTTATGCTCCTTTAACATAAGCAGTGTGTACACTAATATCCCACTGCATGAAATACTTCAAATTATTCAGTATGCACTGCATCTAATGCTACAAAATCATGTCATTTGATGTATTATATGACCTTTTAATTAATGAATCATTAGGTAAAAGTTCAAGAATGTAGGAGTTAAAGTCTTACGTAGGACAAATGGAAACTGTCTTGTAAGTAACTCACATGTACGTTTCTTCTCCAACCTTGTTGCTCAAAATTTGGTCAAGACCAGAAAATTTAAAAGGAATTCAGTGCTAAACACTTTCTTCAGTATGTCATATGTAATAGACTGTTTTAATGTCATCAAATGCCATAGATTTTTAGTCTGAAAGCTTGAAATTGTGCATTATGTAAACAATTTTTTATTTTTTTTAAATGCTCCGTAACAGCTGTTGGACAGTGTTTCTGAGTTGATTAGACATTGGAGAATTCACTTTACCATTGCTGTGGAAGAGGAGCAATATATTTTCTGCTTAATATCATAAACATATTCTTCCTTCCTTTCTGTGCTCTTGGCTAGTAGCCTTGTTAAGTCTTTAATGATGTAATGATGATCACCTTTCCAGGTGCTTCTTATTAGAAAACGTATTTTGTTCCAATAAGAATGGCATCTGGTCCTGGGGATTATACTGAGCACCTGTTACAAAACGTTCATGAAGACATTGTGCCTCCCACTACAGATGGCACTACTACATTAATTCAAGGATCATATCAGTATTATCATTATGGCTGTGATGGTCTGAATGACAGGGTAAGGCCTCAGGTTAATGTAGAGACACACAATTAATTGAAGACAGTTTGAGAGAAAATTTACATACACAAGGCAAGAGTGGCATATTATGTTGCATTTTATAAAATCCTCTTAATTTCTTAAACAGGAAAAGTTTCATGTAGAATGTATGGATGTCTTTCCACTGAATAAGGGTACACCACAGCACTACTACTTTTACCTTATCTGTTGTCTGTTTTTTTTAAAAATCTTGAATAACTTGAAACCTTAAAAGTCACTCTGTTTCGAAGGATGCACCTTCCTTCAGAGGGTGGATACATTTGCTCTGAAAAATCTTACTAAGGGGAGAGTCTTCTGTGAAACCTAAAGCTCGGCCTGCCCCATTGGTTCGACTGAAATGGAGTTGGAATGCTAGCAGTTTGAACCTTAATCTTGCCGCAACCTTGAATAAAGAGGTTCCAGCTCAAACCTGCCTCAACTTCACTGCTTATTTAGAGTGACATAGTGTACTTCCATGAAGGTTGGGTGACCCAGTATGTCACGCATCTAGGTGTTTAATGGCAGTTACACTGTGTATGTACACTCTGTGCAACAGTCCTTAAGTTCTTGGCATGTTGTTAAGTCCCAAACCAGAATACTGTAAGCATGTAGCAGGCATCATGATTCATCATTAATAATCTCCATGTATTTGTAAGTACGGGGCCCTTCTGTGATCTTAATTGACATTTGAAATATAAGTAGCCAACATTGCAGACTAATTTGAAGAAAACAAATTTTCTCAGTCGGGTGACGAAAAAATGGAACCAACCATCTGTAACAGGTTAAACTCAAAATAGTCCAGATCATTTACAACAGATCCATCACTATCTGTAAAGATGAAAGGGGAATTTTAAACATGATTTGTGGCTTTGGGTAGCTCGGGAACACCACTTCCTGTACTCACTATGTGAGCCCCTGAGGGGATTATTGTTACATAATATGCTAAATTTACAACTTCAGTCTCATATTAAAATATTTTCCAAATCAGTTTGTTTTCAGACATTCAAAATAAGAGGCCATATTTCACATTCATATCAAATATTTGTTTTCCATATTCTGATCTTCAGTGCTTTGGAAAGTGAGGAGGGCAACAATTTGTGAAGGAAATAATTAGAAGCTTTTGCAGGGTTCATTCTTCTCATATCTTGACTGAGAATGAGTATTTGACATAGGGCTGGGGTTGTGGCTACCGCACTCTGCAAACCATTTGTTCATGGATTGTAGATACTATGCGACACTCCTCTGCAGTGCCCAGCATCCTCGCCATTCAGCAGGTGTTAATTCATCTGGAGGACAAACCTTCAAATTTTGTGGGATCTCGTGATTGGATTGGCAGCTTTGAGGTTTGTATTTTAGAAATGAGTGATACAGAAGTGTAGAATTTGAGGTTTTCATGGCAGTGAGGCTGAAGATGGCTGTCTTCTGGGTTGTTGCGCCATGTAATGTGGTAGAAGTTTACTGGTGTTCCAGAGGTCCATGTTGCCTCCATCATCACCCTGATGAATGAGGCAGCAAGGAACTCTGAAACTAAGGACAATCATTGGATAAATTCATAAGTAATATATTATACTATATAAGATGATTTACATGCAGAATAAGTATTTGTATATAAAGCAATAAAAGTCTGAAAAATATATGGTAAGCCTAAATGTAGCAGAAGAAAATAAATGAATAGAGCTTTATAAGGAATTATGGATTCAGGTGGAAGAATATGAATTCTTTGGTAATATAGAACCAGAAACCCAACAAGGAATAGACTTCAAAAGTTATTAAAAGAAACAAAAAGCAGGAAAGTGATGGGACCCAATGGGACTAGCATGGAACTTATGAAAGTGAAATATTAACCCTGGAACAAATTTAAGCTGAGAAATAAGCTTAAATATACATTGTATGAAGACAATGTAGTAATAATACAGAAAAGGAAGGTGACCTGCAATGGTTAATACACCATTTATATCAGATATGTAAGAAATTAGTAATTTTAAAACATCTGAAGAGAAAACCAAAGTGATGGCATTTTGGTGCAAATATCTAATCAGGTTAAAAAGGACTCCAAAATCAACGTCTAGAACAAGTTTCATAGTTAAGTTGCTTAGGGTATGAAATAAGCAAGGAGTATGACAGGTATACAGATAAAATATTACGGAGATTCAAGGTGCAATGTGGTGCTATACATAGACCTTGAAAAACAAAACAAGGCTGACATTTCATGAGACAGTGGCTACACCAGTCTTAGTGTATGGGAATGAATGTTGGGTACGCACTAAGAAAGTCCTGAAGTTACGAATGGAAATCAAAGGCTGTATGAAACTAGACCATATATGAAATTAAATTATAAGAAATGAAATGCGTACCCTGGAAGAGATGTAATATGGCAATGTTGTAATAACTGGTCACAACATGTAAACACAATGCAAGACACAAGATTACCAAAAAGAGTACTACAGTACAGACCTTCAAAAGAGACTTAGGAAGACCAAAGAAAAGATGGTGAAATGTAATGTGAAGAAGGGACAGACAAATTACCCTTTCCATGGAGTGGAAAAGAATAATATTCTTAGAGACAGAAAGACATGGAAATTTGAACTGCATGGCATGCATTCCTTGAATTTAGTCCGGTTTTAATTTTATGGTAATTCAATTCTGGTATGTTAAGATCATTCCCAAATATTTGAATTGTGCCCATTTTCAAAAGTTTACTAGCTGCCTTTGTACTGTAATATTTTCCTGTAGTGTGGTTCTGGGGCATAATGAAAATCATCATAAATTGTATGAATGAATAATCTGCGAAAATCTTTATTTTCCCTCAGGTATGCTTGGTTCTGGATCATCTTTATGGTGTATTATCAAAAATAATTCATGTGACTAAAGGTTCAGATTTGCATCATCATATACCATCCTTAGTAGAACATTTCAATAAATATGGAAGCCCTCTTATGATGGGTGGTGATCAGGATTGTTCTGCAAAGGCCGTGGTGGGAGTACATTCTTCTGACAGTGACACTTACCTTCTAATTGTGGTAAGACTGTGCTATATTGCACTCATATTAATATATTTTGTGAAAGTCAGTGGTGTTTTTATGTAATGTGCATACTTAGCTGAAGTTGACAGCTTCTAAGCATAATCAATGCTCCTTATTCCTAGGATCCGCATTACATCGGCAAAGCAAGAAATTGCCACGAATTGCAAAAGATGGGCTGGGTCAAATGGCAACATACAAATGAGTTTGTACACGGCTCTTTTTATAATATTTGCCTTCCTCAACTTGTACACCGGAAGTGCTGATACCAGTGGAGCTGTAAACAATGTCCACATAAAGCTGATGAAAGTAAAGAATGGTCACAGGAATCAAGTAAGAAACATCGTTACTATCGTGAGAATTTTGTTTGTAATTTTAAATCAAACCAGCCTTAAATAAAGTGGAGAAAAAGAGAGTAGAATTAGGAGGCATAGTATATGCAAGCATAAATCTAAATATTTTTCATCTGCGTTTGGCACCAAGTGTCTTTTCAAAGTGTAGACAGTTTTGTTTGTATGCATGATTTTATATATCAATACACTACGCAATATGCAAGGTTTTAAGATGCAAAGGGCAATGTTAGAATATTTCTGTGACAAACCACCCTGGGGCTGTGACATTTAGATGGTTTTTAAATACCTGGCAGGGTGAACACTTCAGTCTTTCAGTACCCAGAGTTTGTTCTCTGTAACCAGTCATGGTTGTCAGACTGCCCATAGTTCCCTTTCTTCCCTTCCTTGGGGTTGGCTATACAGTGAAAGGGAAAGAATGAGAAGATCAGAGGCCAGCTTGAAGGGTCGCTATAGTCACATTACTCTCACGGAATATGTTGACCCACCCAAGTGATTATCTGTTGTGGCATGTTCAACCCCGTTGGAGGTCTAAATCAGTACTGTACATTAAGTTGTTGAGTGAGCATTTCCTTTCGAAACAGTGCTTGCTGTCCGCGTACCAGACCTCTGTGGAGAGCAGTAGCCAGACGTGTTAGAACAGGGTGGGAGACGGAGAGCATAAAATACTGTATTCATTTGGTAAAAATGGATAACTTTTCTGGACGTATCTTCAATATATTTTTTTTAAAAGAATTTATTTCTTATGTTTTTAGTTAGCAAAGCTGGGCTACTTTCATCAATATCCTTCCACTTCCCTAGCCAAGCAATATTAAGGCAAGTCAAACTGTTTTGACCCAAACCTCCCTTTTCAGGTTTCAGATTTATTTAAGCTAGGGTTAATAAAAAGGTAGCAGCTTTTCCAAAAAAATTCTGCTACCAAATTGTGACTCCTTCAGTTGTTAAATGCCACATGGTGTATCTAAATAATTCTCTTGACACCAAGTAAATCAAAACATTATCTCAAACACACTTGGTGCAAATATCTCATGTGTACAGGATTACCACTCATCCCTCTTTCCAGACATTTGGCTGGTGGGTCAGGTTATTTGCATTGGTAAAACTTGGGTTCATTCCTGTATGAACAGCAGGATAAACCGAACCACATTAAACGCAAAGTGTGCTGGAGCCAGGCATATGCAGTGTATCACTAGGTTCTCATTCTAAATGTAAGACTTTGGTGAACGACAAGCCTGAGACCTGTATTTGTATCTCTGAGCAGCATATGAAGTTGCTGAAGGAACATATATCCATACACAAGTTTAAACCACTCTGTAAAAACAGATAAAGGAAACAAGCAATTATAAATGGCATCAATGACTGAATTATAACTGCTGTTAGGGAAAAGCACTGCACATATTTTATCTCAGCAATACCATTACATGAATCAGTTATAGTCACGTGATTAAAATGCAGATTCTGTTTCATTGGCAACAAGAATTTCAATACGCTGCACTCCCCTTACTCAGCTGTGACTGTGTCAGTAAAAAGAATACCACAGGAATTCTATCTTTATATCAAAGTGAGAAATTATCTCACAGCTGGGAATCAAGATGCAAGGAAATAAATCAATACATTCCACATGTAAAATGACCTGGGAACAATATATTTGACATCCAAATCTTTATTTTTATCACGTACGGCAGACATCTGTCGAGTACATGAGAAACAACACACCACACCAACGTGGCTGCCATACATGGTCTCTAAGGAGGACGATGACCAGTAGGAGGATTTTTTTTGCTCCAATCCAAACAGAACAATGGCTTTTATGACTACAAGCAAGTACTGTGAAACAATTTAGACTACATTATATTAAATTTGTAACATAATATTGCACGTCAGCAAGTAAAAAACCAATAATAATTACAACAACCTTTAGAAAAACTCTGGAATTAAATGAAGAGCTAAGTACATGGTTCATCAACATGAGTATTTTTAATTAAAGAAAAAAGACATGTCTGCAAATCTACTGGTATAACAGATACTGCAGCTCCATCCATTGGAAGACAAAAGCAACGACACTTCTATACAAGCACAGTGGTTTTATTACAGACAGCAAAATAGAGCTCTTCTATTGTCACAATGGCTATACAAATTGTGCACCTCTGGACACGTTCTATATAAATACATTATCTCACTTTGGACTTGCCTAGTAAGACATTCTCACTAAGGTTTAGTACTTGTGCTTCATAGAAAATCTGTTAAAATTTTGATTGCTTTTCGCCGTGTAAAGTTAGTGAGTGGAATGAGGAAAGTGAAGGCACAGAGTGTCAGAGGAGGGCCAACAAGACCATTGGGGCTGCAACCTCATATTAAAATATAACATCTTCATATAATAATAGCAAATATTGTTAAAATACATGTGGTGTTTACAAAATTTCAGTAGATTATATCCAATTTTATAAAATACATTAACCAGAGGTGAACGATCCTACAACAAACAAACCTCCACTGGTAGAGCTCTGCCAGATCACATGACAAAACAAAACAACTTTCCAAATCATTTTCTAACATATTACCAACTTCTAAGAGATTTCCAGTTCAGAACCAACACACATTTTCTGAGCAGAAACGTTCTTCCAACATTTGCAGCCCCAAAGACAAGGAGTTGTGCAAAATTGACATATGAATGTAATCGGTTAGAACCCAGAGTGGACAAGCACATGTTTGAGGCACTCGGAGTAAGGCATCCTAAGTGGAGATATGAAGGACATTATCTGCACCTACTGGCACAATGTGAGAGGTGCATCAGTAGTTAAAATACAGTGAAGTAGTTGCTCTACCATAAAATCTCTTCAGAGGAGTAATAGTGAACACTGCGGTAGGTTAACTAGGTGTCAGAAACCTGACTGTTTCTCCCAATTCATCATGGTCACAATATAAACAATTTGTATATATGAATACAGAGTTAGTATCGTAGAATGTGATCCATGGTATGGTTATACTATCATAAATGAGTACACACATACAATTTTAATTTCAGAAATATAACTCTCTCCTTTAGACAGAATATCATTAGTGACGAGACCTCCGAACACTGGCACAAGTAATTAAACTAATGTAATTGATAAATTGAAAGAAAGTACAACACAAAACAAATATGCACAAGTTGGCTTTCTGTATTGTATGACTGTAACATCAACAGTGTACAGAATGGTAACGTTGCCTCCTTGTGATTTTGTATGTCTGTTTAGACGTTTACGTGCTTTAGCTAACTGCTGCTATACCAGTGGTGGTCTCTTAAGTTAAAACCATTCCTATGGCTTGTCATGATATAACAATAGCAACAAATATCATGCCCAAGAAGGCCAAATTACTTCTGGAAGAACCAACCAGGATTCATTTCAATAAAGATATATATGTATAAGAATAGTGCATTCCATCCAATGGATGCCAACAACTTTGGTGACTATATATTAGTCTCGTGCAACGTGTGATGTGTTTTAGCAAAGAGGAAGTGCCTACCAATACTGCAAGTCTCCACCTGCCTACAATCATTAAGCACCAAATTTAGCATGACAACACAAAATGTAAAATACATACATACATCTAAAAACAATATTGCAAGTTACTGAAACTAACTGTCTCTCAGAAAAAATATATAATCATACTGTACATAATAATGTGACATCCGCTTTTATGCATCTAGTTTAAAAAATCATGGCTTTATGAATTACCAGTTCTGTTATGACATGTAAGAGAACCTGATTTTATATAGCAACATACATGCTTTACATGCCAAGTACTCATCTGGCTGTGGAAACAAGAAACAAAGCATGGCTATGGGGGAATGTTCACATACTCGCATAGTAAAATAGATGCTCATCTGGGGGCTACATAGTAGTCACGCAGCACTGCACACAACAAAAATCAAGTACAAAAACATTTCTTTACACAGTTCTAAGTCAATGATATATATATATATATATATATATTTTTGCATCTGATAAACTATCTACAAACAATTTGGACTTCATCACAAGGACTGCTTCACTGTCTTCTCCATAGAAATGAGGCAGCTGTGAGGGGTACGTTTCCACCGAGCACATGCACTCACAAAAGACTTTACGGGCAACGGACAGCAATCATTTTCCGAAACGAAATTAAAACGCGCTGAGGGTCAACCATCATGGAACATGGCATGTCTGAATAGCTACATATGTCTACAAATGATGATTTTACTCTCTGATTCCTTTTAAAGAATGACTTTAATTTCCTGTGCAAAAGCTACATGGTGGATGTGTTTATTACTACTATCACTTTACATGACTGCACTGAACTGGTTTCTTCTTGAGCAAAACCCAAAACGATGCCAGCCAACCATTACTGTTATAGGCACTATCACTGTTATCAGCAATCACGCTTGTCTGCCTAACAACTGTGGTGGCATACTGGATGGCACATATTCTTGTCACATAACTGCAGCATTTACTCATGGCTCACATGTGGAGATCCAAGATCAAGATGAAGTACTCCCATGTGATGGGCTGCTTCACTATGTGGCCCAGCCCTCATTGATCCGGGCCCGTTTCTGCATCGGCCCACTGTCATAGTCACTACTGTTGCTGTGCCGCGGATCGCCTGGCGATGACAAGTTCGTTGGGGTTACAGTTCCTGTCCAGCAGATAGACAAACTCACATCACCATTTTAACGTGCTGACTCAGCAGCTACAGGGGACAATTAGAGTCAGCACAGAAAGATGGTACAGAAACAATGGTAACAAAATACTAGATTAAATACATATAATAAAAAATTATAATTATTGTTACATAATTACAACGAATAAATTCCAACAGTTTCAAGTGAAGCACAGAATTTATATCCATTATTAACATCAACACAAAAAAGTATGCTAAGTGGCACCTCCTATTCCTTAAGGTAAAGAGATTTAGGTCTTGTAAGGCACTGTTGTAACTATAAGGACAAAAAAGTTTGTAACACAGGACCAAAAATGCACACTGAACGAGCTCGAGCCTGTTGTCGTCATAAGACGTTGGTGTACTCCAACCAACAGAAGCATATTCAACTTTAGATCTCGCTAATTTGAAATGTGAAAAGACTGTCGAAAGATGAAATGGAGAAAGTTACAGCACAAAGAATAAGACCCCAACAACATGACAGCCTGCCCATAGTCCACATGAGGGTGAAAATGAAGTTTAGTATCAAGAATAGTTCCCTGAACTTTAATAGTATTTCTACAGTTTATATGAGATCCAAAGACTTTATACTCAAAAGGGATTATGTTACTCTCCCTAATAAAGGAAGTAACTCTACTTTCACTGACATTAATCTTCACGTAGTTCTGTGTGCACCAGTCACATACGGAGTCAGTGTGTATTTTAAGTAAAAAACAATAATGAGGAGTCTTAACAGCCCGAACAAATTTTATCTACTGGGTCTAAAGTTGAGACATCTGCACCAGAGGAAGGACAACATGTAGCAGAATAAATTTGGTCTGGATCAAATCATGCTAAATATGGGGTAATTAAACAGCAACTATATCAAACACTGGTGTTATTGATAAGAAGAAAGTCATTCTCTATAAATGGAATATGAAAAGAGGCATCTAAATTTAATTTTGTTTTAAACTTGGTGCAGGTAAGCAAGATAAACTTGAGTTGCTCATTTAAGGACTTTTCAATGTCTGCAGAAGTCAGGAGAGAAATGCAAGACAAAACGTGACTTAGTTCTCACTGTTTTCGTTATAACACAGACAGACGAAGAACTTTTCACAGCAGACTAAGGCGACGGAGTGGAAGAAACGGAATGCCTAGGTACCAAAGCTGGATCAGAATGCATTACATTTATGGTGGTAATAATAATACAAACAACAATGATGCAGAACCTGGATCTCAACTGTGATACATTTAGATTAATTAACTTTAAATTTTTCATACAAGAATACATATACATAAGTAAAGCAGGGTGTACTGTACTTACAGAGGATCGTGACTCAGCACTGAGTGCTGAATCTGTGTACCAAAGCAGAAAAGAGAAACCACTTAGAAATACTTCCCCAGTCATAAGAGTAAACGTCAGGTGCCCTTGTCCACCGGTAAAAGATAGAAGAGCTTGTATGCCACTCTTGCTGGACAGTAAATCAGAAATGCAGTCTTTGATCACTAAGCTTTTAGACGTGTCAAAGAATATCATGGAGTACATTCTAAACATTTTCTATTAAAACTGCTTTGGCTTCTAATATGAGTTACAGTATACATTTGCATACCATTAATAAGACTGGGAGTATGCAGTGCAGATAAATATGTATGTGATTTTCCAAATGTGCAGTTTGCATGTCTCTGAGGTCTGCATTCATTTATTCTGAACACAAATCTGATCACACTACAAACGGTCAGAAATTATCTCTTATCACAATCAAAATGTCAAGCAAGTTTGAAACATAATGTGTATTCTGTACCAAGAATAGCTTTCTGTACAGCGAGTTATTTTTTTTATAAAAACAGAGAAGTTCTGTCTGAACTTCAGGTCAAGTTAAGCATATCGGACCAATATGAAGCTAAATCATTTTTATCTGACAACTTCTAAAGTAAACCCATGACACCAAATTCATCCAGTGGCCTGGAGATAAAATACACAAATGATGGATGGATGTGACTTCCCTTTACGTGTTCAATTTCTGTACATTGTGCAAACAATGCAAAGATGTGCATATCACGCGCAGACTACTATTTCCTGACCTGGAGTGGGCGTGAGGTGACCAGTGGAGTTGGGCCGTGGCAAGGCGTGGCTGTGGCCCTGCAGGTGGCTGAGAGTATGGCCCAATGTGTGTGAGTGGCTGCCCCCATCACGAGGTGGTGAAATCGGTTCACTCTTGATTTTCACAGGCAGTGGAGATGTGGAAGGAGGTGGCGTACTGCTGGACACAGCTAAGTGAGGCAGACCACTGTAAAAAGTTCATATCCTGAAATGAACTGAGCACACAGCCTGGGCCAATGCAAAAGTAATCTTCAGTCATTCTCAGTGTCCAGCACCATTCGGCAGTCGTCACTTCCGACGAGGGTCCTTCCTGACAAGCTCAAACTCACTTAGCTACTTACAGCTATTTTAAGCCAGATGAATCTAATACACAACCTCACACGCTGTAACATATAAATCCATGTCAGTATCCTAGTTCTTAACTCTTTTTTCCTTTGATCTGTAGTTGAAAGCAGTTTAAACTCACCCATGGACTTTTATTCTCTTAATAAATGTTCCCACAATAAAGATAAAGATTTTAATGTAAATTTTTCCACTTGCAAATTAATGCCACTACTCAGTGCACTCACTTCTTACTGAAAGTAATTACAGTTTCACCATGAATTTTTCAATCATAATTATTTTGTTTCTCACACACAGACACAAAAACATGTTTATGATGAAGTCCATAAGTAAATTTTTAACCATGTGTTACAGTGCAGGTGCACTGCAGCACAGCGGTGCATGAAATGTAACCAGATTGAAAGTTTAAATAACAGCTTCAATACTCGCATAACGGCACATAAATATCTATGACGTTTTGGAACTTGCAAGACGGAACAGTGGTCATATTGAGCATGTAATCCATAAAAGATAACCTCCATGAATTGTTATTTGTGTTAATAGATATATATGTAACATTATGTGAATATTAAAGCTTTATTTAATCTCTCAATCAGGTATAATTTCATGTGCCATTCCGTATATCATTACTGGTACCAACTCTACTACAAACGGAGCTATTCGGAAATTCTTCCGAACCCCGTGAATGCGTGGCACATTTCAAAACACTTAACTGGAAGTAAAAATAGCTTTACACACAACACAGACACTAGACTTGTTCTACTTTCTCTCAATGAAGTGGGGCTCACCATTTAGCCTTTCATTGGACGGACCGCCGCATGATCTGCCTAGCTTAGTTTTGTGGATTCTACCACCAGTAAACATTACTTCATGCACTAGAAATTCCACAAGACTACGTCTGAACTTCTTAGGAGTTAACAGGCCTCTTACTATATTGTTCCTGAGCCAAGACATACAGCAAGTATGAATTCCTGGTCATCTGGGTTAATGAAGACGCAAGACATCACAAATTACTTTACATTTTAAACACCCGATGTTTGTCTGCAGAAAGAGTTTGTAATGTTTGCTTGTTTCTATTAAATATTTAGACTCCTCCTCACAGCAATACAAATTTTCTGGCTTCTGTGATGTCACTGTATTCAATCTCTGTCTGACCCATGCAGTCTAGTGAAGCATCGATGTGCTTCAACACTGTGCTATGACTGACGTGTGCACTTTCTCTTTCTTCTTCAGTCTCATCCCCCTACCCTCCACTACTTCTCCCTTTTGTTTTGCAACGTCACTGACAACGTCCACGTCATGTGGTGGAAGCCTGGTTCACTTGCATCACTTTGCAGCCATTCTTCAAAGTTTATTTCATCGACATTTTCAAATCTTTTCATAGCACGCATGAAGTCCAGAATTTTGGACTTGCTGATTTCTTTCTTACAAAAATCTTGAAAATCATTGTCTTCTACATCTAGAAGAAGTTTGCTCCAATATCAAACCGACATTCCAACATGGATTCATGGCAGACCGTGCCCAAGGCACGCAGCATTCAGCATCCAACACGGTATTTTTTCCACGATGCTATCATGGAAACAAGCCGCGTCAGGTCACCATTCAGCCACCTGACGCGGCTTGTTGCCCGAGAGTCTTTCATCGACTTCAGAGTACCTTGGTTGAGAACTTGATACAGTACTACTTACCACTCTCCCTCCTAACATTTGATTAAATCATCAGTCTGACTGATTTGCTGCAGTATCAGGTGCATGATTCCACAAGCCATCCAGTCACATACTTACATTTAGTTTATAATCTTTAAAAAAGGTAGGACAGTATTAAGATTAAATATAAAACCAGCTGAGACAAATGACAAGACAGTCATTTAAAGAAACATCTGTTCAAACTGTGACTGGTCACCATGATCAAAGTGTAATATAATAAACGGTATCCCTACCTAGTATGAGCTAATGATGTGGGCAACTGATGACTCCAGCTCAGTGTTCCAAGTCCCATGTCGGGTCCCATGCTAAAGTCTTGCCCACCAAAAGCAGATAAAGACCCTGGGTAGCCTCCCAAACCAGGTATGGACGGAGTTTGCAGTGCAACCACAGGAGTGTTTAATGTTGATGTGCTTCGACTCGGCTGTACAAATATCATATGGCATCAGCAAAATTTATGACAAAAATTTACTAGTCAAGGGTAATATAAGAACTGGAAAATAAATTAAATAAAGATGGCTGTCTTCTGGGTCGCTGCGCCGTGTCGTCTGGTAGAAGTTTATCGACGTTTCAGAGGTCCTTGCTGCCTCCATCATACTCTTCTTAAAAGCTCTGGTTGAAGACGTGCTTTTTTTAATATCTTACTTTTCAGTACTAGTTTACTATAAATGTATGTTCAAAACAAATGGCCATACACGAGGGAAAATTATCATCATCAACTACTACAAGGACCGGGCCTATTGACCCATTCCAAGACAGTTGCTCAAGGCAACTTGTCCTTATTAGTCTTGTAAAGTGCACTTTTGTGTAGTAAGTGACCAACCCACTGCCTCTACACAATTTCCCTTTGAAGGAAGTTTTGCTACGGATTTTTATCGCCCTTTAAAATCCATCGACCTGGGCCGGGAATTATAAGTTTCCTTTTTATTGCATCCTTTTGAAATAAACTACTGACATATCTCGTGTTGCTTGCTCAAAACATGCTATAAAATGGAATTTGAAACACTTTTCATATGACTCTGATTGACTTTCTTGATTTATACTATATCCCAAAACATCAACAAATAAAGACACAACTACTGATATACTGATACAAAAGAACACTAAAGTTACTGGAAACACAAAGCTCAAATATGACAAGCAGCACATTTTCAATGCAAAAGTTTTGCAGAAACAGTTTTGTGGTTAACTTTACTTGGATGTATATATGATACATACACTTAATTTACAATTTCTCTCTGTGAAATGCATTTCAGTCTTGGCGAACTGAACTTACTTCGTCAGCAGTGAGGCTGTGGCCCTGAGGCGCAGGAATCACCACTCGGAGATTGGCTCGCCCGGCAGCTGGTGAGTGTTGCTTGGCGTGTTGCAGGTTCTTGCTGGAAAGTACCGGACTGGGTCCAGGCCCGGGGGACGACGAGCCTCCAAGCGGCGATGACGAATTAGGGTAGCCATTACTCAACTCCAACATTCCGCCAGACGGATACACTACATATAGAACAAACACACATCAACAATGTCTGCATTCCTCAATGGAACCTAAAAACTGAAAAGAAACATTTAATTGAAAAACAAAATGTTGAAAGGTAATTGCAATAAAGATAAAGTACTGTACACAAAAACAAAGAGCACACTTCTCTATTATGTTTGCTTCTACAAGAGTACCCCGTAATTTGATAGGTCCTTCTGAATGAAAGAAGTATAAAGATAAAATTTAAACTTCATACATGTAATACCTTAATATAAGTTTGAACATGAATTCTGAAAGATATTATGCCAACAAATCAAAGTTCGTATGGCAACATCTCACATTACCTCACTTGACTTTGCCTGTTATAACAGGTAACCAGTGTGAATCACAAACTCTTATAAATGTTGTTATATTGGACACTAACAAATGTTCAGCAGAGTCCTACACTAAATGCACGTTACAACTGAAATTGGTTGGTTTGTGGCTTCATAGTCAACTGTAACATTTGCCCTATGTACCAACCATACACGATAGTGGCACGAGACAGCCGCCATTACATCATCTGTGGCAACCACAAGGTAAGAAAGTATCTTTCAAACTGCAGTTTAATTAATTAATTTATTTATTGTTCATTTAATGAGGCTTTCAGTATCTCAGATTATACAGCAGCAAATGAGAGGATGATAGTGAATAATGAATTGGAAAGGATGTGGAAAAAAGCAGTTGTGTCCAAACATTTGCCTGGAAGGACTGAGGAAACTACAAAAAACATCAGTCAGGACAGCCAGTCTCCAGGCTGAGATTTAAACCTGGGACCTCCCGAATTCAAAGCAGGGGTGCTAACCACTCGACTACGATGTCTGGACACCCCAGTTTCAAATGTCAATAATCAGAATAGATCAAAATGCATTTTAAAAGTATGGTACTGTGATGGTGATGTACTACCACTTGGACCCAATGCAAGCTTTGATTCTGTCTTGGGTGGAATATAACACTGGCATAATAGGACTGTCAAATAAGGAAACATAAAAGCGAAGTCATTAATGTGGGAGTTTATTGCATTTGGAACTAGTTAAAGGTAAAATGCAAACTTCAATGGGTGGTGATAACTACAGCAGTAGTCTAATAATGACGGCGGCGGTGGTGGTAATAGTCATAATAGCAGCAGCAGCAGAAAAGACAGCTCTTCTAGCATGAACTTTATTCTTAACATAACACTAAATCCTTATAAAGAAAGGTTAGCCCTCCATACTTCAACATAAAAAACACAGTCATCACACTCACAGTACTGAAGTCAGTGTGCCTGCACATATTGGATTCAAAGCCATTACAAACCTGTGTCCGTCTCTGAAGAGGAAGGCCGCGGACTGACGCTAGTATGAGGCATCTGGGGACTGGTCTGCAGCATGGATGAGTCCCCATAGCTGCTGTTAACTGGCACTGTCACTGGAAGGGAGTAGTTTCCTTGATTCATACCGACCTGCAACAATCATGCTTCCTTGGTAAGAACTTACAGCCACAATTCTTACAAAATAGTTCTTGTAATTAAAAGTTATGACGCCACGCTATGATCAAGAGCGATGCTTTTCGTCATTTCCGCATGGCAGCAGACCAAAAAATAAATATATCCCAGCACACCACAGAACATTATGTTGAAGTTATTTGCCAATGCATATGTACAGCACACATGTCAGTGGTCATACAGTTATTAATACTTAATTTTACTTTTCATTTATATAGATTTTTGCAATATGCATTACAGCTCACAAGAACGTTTAACAACAAATTAATGTCTTAAGAATGAGCAATAAATTATAAGAGAGAGAGAGAACAGACTCAAAATTACTATCCTAAAAATGTCTAGCAGATAAGAATATAAATAAATATGAAAATGTATGTCAACTCTAACCAACAATAAAACAGCAGCACAAACCAATGAGATGACAAAACAGTCCAATGTTATTTATGCAGCAATATATTAAATTCACACTGACTGAAACTTATCCAGTAGCTGCAGAACATATTCCAATGCAGGTCTCCTTGGGCCTTCGTGGTTAAGAACTGTAAAAGCCTAGAAGAAGAACTGTTACGTTGAACTCTCACAGAATTGACACACCCAAGACAGATACAGTGACTAATAGGACTGTTGTGGTAGGCATTCAGCAAGCAAAGAAAATAAAAGCATACTTTAAGATATGGAATTAACAACTCATGAAAATGTAATGGCAGTATGAAAGGATAACTTGAGAGCTTTATCCCTTGCATCCTGTCACAACAAGAACCTCAACGGGCAAGCATCGTAAAATGTTAGTGTCAACACGGTGATGACAGCACTGTAAAGAGACTTACAGAAATTCACTCTCCTACAAAAATTTCTTCCACAGAAAGAAATCCAAGGCAACAAGACTGTACTTCACTTAAGATACCCATTGAGCTTATAAACTTGTTGCATTCTTTTAACTAACTCCCTGGTAGCAGAACCAGCAGGTCCAACACCGACAATACTAAAGCCCGCCACCGGACACGATTCTGAGCCAACTCCATCCAACTAGCGAGTGGGCCTGCAGTGTCCTTTGTCAATGGCTCAATTATTGTTGTTCAAGTCCTTCTAGGAAGCCTGAAGTAACATAAAAGCAGTTGACCTCAATCTCTAGCCCTCACTTTACCACATGAGTTCAGGAATTACAGCTTAGGGATATCCCACTTACCAAGTTATAAGAAAACTATATTTTAGATAAATTTAAATTTAGTGATAAATTTATACCAAAATTACAAAAACACAATTACACAGATTACCAGAATCCAATAAATTTATATCAAACACATCATAAAAAATTAGTGATTGCATAACAAGCATTAGAAAAATGTAACACAACCATGGCTGATCGTAAATATAAAGAAATTCCAAGCACAGTTACCAAATGATCAGCTTACATAGAAATGCAATGGAACATAAAAAGCAAAATCCATGAATCCCCCCATCCACAGGCTACATCAGAAAGCTTATAACTGCTTTACAAAACAGTATGAATACGTCCTCTAGAAGACTTGAACCCAGAACTCACCATGAAGGGGCCATACTGCCAACGCTAACCTAGTCTTACATGCGAGCATGCAATTACTAGAGAAAAATCCATAAATCTAACCATCCAAACTCTCTCCATATACTGTCACATTTCAAGTAATAAGAATTATGCAGAGTTACAACATTTTTCAAAAAGTACTTGCACATAATAGGTATATACCTATCCATCCATCAATGATCACTGGTCTCAATATTATTCAAACAATGCCTCTCAACAGTATAACACCCCACTTTCTTAGTACATTTCCTGCAACTAGGCTACACACAAAACACAGTGCACTGACCACCAGGTGGTCTCACAGTTCAACTATGATATACCCCAGGCAACACAACTGCCTGCCCCTAGCATCACCAAATGCCAGCAACCTGCCAGCCAGCTACCACAAGATGCCGTGTGTCTCAACCCCAGGCACCCAATGTCCTACACTACGCTCGTAACTGTAAAACAACGCACACAACGAGGCTTCAACTTGCCTGTCTCTACTTCACACCACAGACCATCTCCCAACCCCAACAACATAATAATAATCTATTCACATATGCACACATATTAAACAACCCCCAACAAAGTTTGGACCCCCACCCCCCACTTATCTAAAGGTCGCACTGTTTTAGTTAAAAGTTCCTTAATGTGAAGATCCTGTAGCATTCCTGTTTCGTTGTGTCTTACAGGTCCACTGCAATGTATTTTCCCAGTTTGTGAATTTTCACATAAATTAGGAGAGAGTGTGATCTGTTAGTGCCACGTGAGAAACATCTCGATTAAAGTTTCTCATCCTGGGAATGAGTACCGGCGCTAACTGTGGCACGTGTGAAGTTCAGTCTTTGATTGATTGTTAAGTGGGAGTGACAGTAACCTGCATGCACGCGTTGACCGACCGGTGTCAGGAAAATGGAAGACAACGTTTATATCCAGATGATCAGGACAGTGCTTTGAGAAGCATCAGACATTAATCCAAGAAACAGTCAACTGTAAGCAAGTAAAGTTTGTCCCGCTACGTGCCGTAAAGGCGCTTGGGGTGAGCGGAGGCATAGCTCCTCTCTTCCTTGACCTCGGCACTAGATGGGGGTGAGTGGTCAGCATCACGGCTTTACCCCCGGGAAAGGACCCGGTACCCATTGTAAACAGTCAACTGTAATAATGTTAAATATAAAATAAATAAATCGATTTTTTCAACAAAGAACCTGCTGTCAATCACCGATTATGCTACACTTTGTAATACTTATGACTAGTCAAAGTGGTTAACATCTATGGATCAGTAATGTACAAACATACTCTGCTTCCATTAAGCTGATTTCTCTGCATCATCATCTGAAATTCCTCATCTATCTTGCTGTACTTTGCTTCTGTACGTGGTGTGAGCTGGTATTCCGTATCAGGCTCTGGGCTATCCGGACTACACGTGCCATTTTTATGCTCCTTCTTATTCAAAGCCTGCAATGATGAATCACCACTTTACAACAGCATACCTTATGGGACCCTTGGTTTTGCCACACCCATCAAACACCAGATTAGTGTTGCAAGAGTCATTTTCTTGCTCTGGGAGAAATTGACGAGAACACATCTTTTGCTTAACTCATTGGCTTAGTAATTTCTATTGCTAAACCACCCTAGGAATAGGAATGAAAAAATAAATGAGAACATATTTCAATGAATATATCTACAAGTTCAAAAGAGACAAACCTGAAATTTTCAGAACTACTGAACACTCTTCTCCAATATCTATATGCAAATTTATATTTTCATAATGTTGTTAAATCACTGCCAATTCATATCTTTTGTTTTCGACCAAGTAGTTCAGCCATATTTCATTAGATGGCAGCAAATATAAAAGAACAGAAAGTAAGACCTGGACGCAAATAAGGTGCAATCGTCATGGTTCATTTAATTAAATTTGCTTGTAGCTCTTTATTTGGCACCTCAATTGTTTATATTAATCAAGCAACACAGTTCAATAAAACAATATTATTGTTTGTTAAAGCAGCTTCAGCTTCCAATACATACATATACATAATTTGCTACCAGCTAACAAACAGGATTACTTGGTCAGAAATGAGTCTGATAAATTGCAGTGGTTAATTGGCTAGAAACAGGTGACCAGGAAATCATGGCTGTTGAGCCAATGGATTAAAATCCGAGAAGCGTATTCTTTCTATATAGTGTCATGGACATATTTTGTTCACATTAATTATATTCATAGGTTTCCTTTCCTATTCCCTTTTGAGCATTCGTCATGCTTTAGCACAAGAAAAGAACACCTTACGTGCATATCCCGTCCATCCGTGTCACATCTTTCTTCTGTGATGATGTCATGACTCAACCCCAAAATGCAAAAATCATTCACCAGGTGGTTTAGCAGTTGGTGGCAACGGCCCACATCAAATCCTATTCTTTTTTAATGCAAAGCTAAACCAAAAACACATATTTAACTCTGAACCAAACCCAAATCAGTTTATTCTGTACCTGAAATACAAACGTCTACACTGTGATCGTTTCTGAACTGGAAACAGACACAGCACTACCAGCACTGGAATTTATGTCAGAATCTTTTCTTCCAAACTCGATTATAATTTTTATTTTATTTTTTACTTTTATGTATGATTTGATGCCCAGCAATCAATGTTTTTCACATGCTTTCACATTTACATTTTTGATAACTGGCATCATAAGGTTCTAGCGATGTTCCAAACAAATTCTGTTGCTTTTAGATCACAGTGGTTTCACAAGCATCTTCTAGAAAGATGGCATCTGTGACATATTTTGGTGGAGGATGCTGGATCCAAACAACAAGCTCAGTCTTTTACATTTTCCGCTGTGATTTATATTACTTCTCATAAGCCACTCCTGAATTGCCATGTTTTTTAATGCTAAGTCAGAGATTTTTCATTCATGTGAACAGAATGACATAACAATATTACAGAGGTTGGTGGAAGATTGGGAACTAGCATTTCCCTAACCAACTTTAAAACATTTTTCAAGTTAATTTTGTCATGGTCGTCCCTTCTGTTGTGTCTGATTCAGAAATCATGGAATGTCCCTGGAACAATCCCCTCTCTGAACCAGCACATACAATTAATTGCCACGGACCAGCCCTGTCATTATGACAGTCTTTGCCTCGCTGTCTTGCCAGCACTTATTAACTGTATTGAACAAGTAAATCCACATTTCGTCCAAATACTCAAGTTTCACGTTGAATCCGGTTCATCACCATTCTTCTCAAATGCTTTCCCATCTGTGCCACAATATGATTTCCCTCCATTAAGAAGAGTCACTGATGTTTACACTTCCTCATATTCACACGTTCTAAATTTAAAACCAGTCTTATTCAAGACCTCTTAAAAACTCATTGCCTTTACAAAATTTAATTTCTTCTTTCAAGATCAAAAACATATTTTTATCTTAGAACTTCTCGCTGCACAGCATAAAAATTATGAATTTGTCTGATTACACAAAATTGAAGCCAACGAGCGATCCTTCCAGAGATGGGCTCATGTATTTTACCAGGTGACTTTTAATTTATTACTGCTGATGCTTGCCATGTTGGCTTCTTTCTCGTTTATTCCAGAGATGGGCTCATGTATTTTACTAGGTGACTTTTAATTTATTACTGCTGAAGCTTGCCATGTTGGCTTCTTTCTCGTTTCTCACACAGATGCTTCTGATTTTCCCATTGCTGCGGCAGCAGCATGTTTTGTTGCATTGTGGACTGAAAACATCAAATATCCACTCGATTTCTCTTGATTGAAAAACTCTTTAACTTTGTTTATATCATAGCCTTCACTGGGAACAGCAGGTTTGAAATGTAGTTTTTGCATTTTAAAACATTGCCAGGATAGGATAAAGATTCAGTGCACTTGAAGAAAGACATTGCATGCACTGTACAAGCAGAAACAACACAGAAGACAAAGCACTGATCACTTTCTGCCCACCACATGAATCTGTTCCTTCCCCCACCACGATACATCAAATTAGCTCACGTCCCTTCCACATTTAAAGTCAATGAAGGCAAGTAGCATCGTAGACAATTTTATAACACGGCATCAACACCTGCCATAACATTATTTTATAACTCTGAACTTGAAGAAAACTTCCATACAACAAAAACCAAAGCGTCAGTTAAAAGACACTGTCGCATAATTAACCCTTACCAAACGAATTTCATTTTTTCCTGTAAGTGAAATATTTTTCTTTGTAAAAATTAATATTATTATGAAACATATATAAAACTGTAAGCGATGACTGACGAGTTTCACAATACAGATGGTCCGCTGCCAGCAAAAGAAATGTGTTACAACATGATGCAAAATAAGGCTACAAGGTTTTCGTGATGGCGAGTCTAAAGACGGCTGTCTTCTAGGTTGAAATGCTGTGTTGTCTGGTAGAAGTTCACCATTGTTTCAGAGGGCCCTGCTTCCTCCATCAACAGGGCAATGACTCATCACCCTGATGCTGGAGGCAACTACCAGACTGCGCGGTGCTACAACCCAGAAGATGGCCAGCATTGATAAAAAAAATGTAACTTCAATCTTGAATGCAAAAATGACACAAGTATCACTGCTCCCATAACTAACAAACTGCATGGAGGACAGTCATCCTTGAGAAGAAACTTCTCACTTTTTACAGACTCCAACAGTTCAATACCGTGTTCAGGAAAGCTGCCAATAATCCCTAATCCGAGGTCCTGTGGCATGATTTTAATCAAACTTTGTAAGTGAATTCTGATAATTTGATTATGGTCAAAAGACTATGCAGTAGAAGGCACATAATATGCCATTGCTGGCACTAACTGTTACACATTTGACTGTACGGTATAATACAAAGCAGTTATCTGTGCATAAAGTGGCTTTTAATGCTACACATTTGACTGTACGGTATAATGCAAAGCACTTATCTGTGCATAAAGTGGCTTTTAATGCACGTCTTGCATTATTCCATCATCTTTTCCGCAGTCTGTTTGCCTTGCACACAACACAGGCACTTACTCTCAATAAAGTGGGGTTTGTCATTTAGCTTTTCTTCAGGCAGGCCACTGCATGGTCTGCCTTGCTTAGCCTTGTGGATTGGATTCTGCCACTAGCAGACATTCTTCCATGGACCAGGGATTCTGGCAAGACTCTGTCTGAACTTCTTATGAAGCTCTATGCCTCTTACTGTACTGTTCCTGAACCAAGGCACGGAGCAAGTATGAGTTCACTTTACTCACTTGTAGAAGCCTGGACGTTTTTCTTTACCACTTCTTCGTCCTACTCCTAAACTGGTAAGAAGCAATGTAGTGGTCATTGCAGTTGTGTAATCCAACACCACATTTGGTTTGTATATCTTTAGGGAACTTCTGTCACCTCCCTGAATGAAAAGTACTGAGATTCATGACCGCGTTTGTCGCTCCAAGCTGAAACAAGTTTGTCATTTTTCCGAATGGCAACACCCCCCTTGCCTCATCTTCCCTATTTTGTTGTGTCTTGGATGTTCTGGCATTTCTTCTCTGATTGCTGTTACCATATTCATCAGCCAACTGTGCTGATGTGTAGACATAATATCCACCAAAAGATGGGTTGGTTGCGTCTTTCACAAGAGCAGAACTTAATTCTTTTACTACTTGTGAAGTCTTCAATAAGTCAGGGTTCTGCTTTCCAGTCCTGTGAGTGTACAACTTGAAGTTAAATATGTTCCATTGATGCTATCATATAGTACACACATTTTCAGTCCAGACTTTACTGACTTCATTGGATTGTGTGTTTTGAAAGACACTCTCCCCTTCGAAGAAACTGAGCTTTCATCAACAGCAACAGTGGTAGTAACACCGCATGCACTTCGATCTGATTTCACCTAGTACAGATTTCAACAGTTCTTCATTCTTTAATTTATCTTAGATTCCAAGAAAAAAGCAGAAACTCATCCCTCGGGAACACATCAGAAAAGAAAGGTGTTTTGTCCACCCATCCTTGAGAGTAGTCAGTAATATCAGACATGGGATGCAGCCCCGCGTTTATCGCGGCACCAAGCCGTGCCTTCATGTCAGCTGGGAATGGAGGAGACCAGTTTGTGATTCTAGCTTTTCTTATGGGGGGAGGGGCCCATAT